TTACGAAACCTTAATGCGGACCAGAAAGTGTCGAGAAGTTCCGCATATATAATACGAAACCTTCGGATCGTCCGCGAAAGCAACAATGGTTCCGTGGACATATTGCGAAACCTTAAAGCCGACTAGCAAGTGTGGAAAAATTCCGCACAAATAATACGTAACCTTCGGTTCGTCCACGAAGCCAACAGCTGTTCCGTGGGTATATGACGAAACCTTCTGCCATTTCCCAAAACTATCAGAGGATTTGTACATGACGTACGAAACCACAAACCACTTTACGGAACCTTCGAAGAGTTCAGGCGAAAATTGCGAAACCTGATGAAATCTGCTGAACTTTAAATACTTCTGAAAGGAGACCGCGGAACGTTTTTCACTCTACGGAACTTAAAATCGTTCGGTAGAGAAATGCGGAACTATTAAGGTTCGGTAGAGTACCGATTTTTTTTAGAGTGTAGATTTTTCCGTTAGGACACTTCCGCTTCATTTTGACTTCCAATATGAAATGCGTTCTCCTTGACTTGAAATACTATCGAATAACAAAACATTTCTTTCGAGTTTTTGTTCATCTGCTAATATGATAGATGAAAGCGAAGTCATACTCGATCGCTGTATGTAAGAAATGATATTGTTCTCTTGGTTTTGTGAAAAGCAAGAATTATTTTTGACAGTGTATGCTTTTCGGGCAAACATTTCATCTTGTGTGCCAAAAAGGAATCATCTTTAGCGTGTATATGAAAGATAAAATATATAATTTCTCATATTGCTGTGAAAACTGGGTTAAAAGGTTTTTGATTCCACACTATTCGCATAAACTTTCAAAGTCCTGTGTCAAAAAGGTGCTGCCTTCAGTGGCATATTCACTTCGTAAACTCGTGAACTGATAGTTTCAATACCGTCATTTCAGTATTACAAAAGGAATATTTTTGGAAGTTAAAAAACATTTTCGAAAAAGCAGCTTTCCGCTATTTCCCGCTTTTCTGATCTGATGAGGTGGCGACCCTGTTTTCAATCATCATCCGATAGAAGATAAGCAAGAATCTTTATCTTTATCTTTATCATAGCTAGCAGTCGTATGTTGAGGCATCACTTGTATAAAAAGATCATCGATTTTTTGAGAAACCTTAAACTATTTCTGGGTGGGCTCAACTCATTTTAGGGTGGGCTTAGCCCACCCCAGTCCACCCCTGGCGCCGCCACTACATGGCAATCTGTATGTCGTTGATATGAATAATCATCGTGTTCAACGTTTTTCTCCTGAATAAACTAGTGAATTTTGTTTTCTTTTGCGAATGAAAAGAATTGATTGAAAACCAATTTTTTCTTTCTTTTCATTTTTATTAGTGAGATTGATACAGTGCTGTATTGTTCTTGATTAAGTAAAAGATACAATAGAAACAGAGGAAAATATTAGAATTTAGTTCAAAAATTCAATGATTTCCATGAGACAATCGTACTTATTTATGATCTATACATAAGCAATAGGATTAAATGAAACAAAGAAAAATAATGGCCGACAATGAATGAATCAGTCAATAATGTAATACAGAAATGATAAAAAAAATAGTCAGATAGTAAACACAAAACGGAAAATTACCAATCTCAGCTGATCTCTTTGTCCAAATAGTCAGAAATCAGAAAGAAACACATTCCAATTATAGTTAGCAATCAAATTTTACTACTGCGTAAAGATGATAGATATATCTATTTGGCTCTGTAAAAATAAGTAAATATTTGATTTATTGCTATAATTTTTTAAGTCAATTAAATCTGTACATTGCTACAAAGCTCATCACTTGTTGTATTGAAAACTATAATGTATATATGCTTCAAAAAGATTTCGAGCATGACCAACAAAATGGCCGATAGAGATTAATTTTCTCAATAATTTATTTAAACAGAACAAAAAATGATATTAATAATATTTTTTTTTATTTAAATATATTTCTATTATCTACAATAGCAATTAAGAAAAAATAAATAATTTCAGGTAGTTTATCAGAAAATAATTCTAAATTGTATTTTATTAATCTCCAATTAAACCAACGAAAGCGCATTCGAAACTGAGCTAAAACATTTTCACATTCATCATAAAATTTATGATGGATTGAAAAAAGTTTCTTTTTCATCATGAAATTTTGTGAATTCCATTCAATTAAATATTTTTCAGTAAATAAATTAGGAAGTTTTTTAATTGTGCCATTTGTCCATTGATTTATTGTAGAATTATATATTTCAAAAGTAACATTTAATGTTTCATTTCTCCATTCATTTCCTACATAACCAAGAACATCTTTTGATGGATAACTAACTATTAAAAGAAGATTACTATCATCATTTGAATTTTTCAATCGATATAAATATTGTTTTTCACTTGAATCTAATACTGAAAATCGACTTAGACCATTTTTATCCGTAGTATCATCGCGTATTAATAAGAATTTACTAATTAATTTTTTCGATTGAATAGATTTTATCAGAATAATAAACAATAGTAACAAAAATAATTTCATCTTTGCCATCATCAATATAGAAAAAGAACTTTCTATCTTCTTACACGTATATATATATATATATCATTTATTTATCAACGCTCGACATTAACATTTTCCTAACCTTTTCATTAAATGTTTTCCACGCATATTCTTAGAAAGTCTATTAACTATTTATATATCCATTAAATAACATAAGATAAATATCTCGAGTATCGATTTTTTCATACGTAAAAAAAAATAAATAGAATTCCTCTGTTTTTACGATCAAAGAGTTTTCGAATTGTTTTTATAATAAAACGACGAAAAAAATAAATAAAATAATATTCATTTACTATTCCAATTTATTAGTCGAGTACGTAACATATCGATGCAGAAGACTATCCTGCGTATTCCGTCTTTTGTTATTTGAGCTTGAGCTTTCTCCAACATTACAAATTTTTGCTAAATTTAATTAAATTCAGCACAGCTCCCAATCTTGTACCGACATATCTGACAGAATTAGTAGCCATGATTTAGTTTATGAATTAAACATTTTCCATCCCAAACTAAAATACATTGTGATGATTTTAGTCTCATACATAAACACAAGAACTAATGAAGGTAACCAAGATCTTATTTTGAAATTCTTTTTAGTATTGTATAGTGCCTTTTTCCTTTTCATTTATATCTCCACTTATGGCGTCAACAAATTTATCTTAGGAACAACACAAGTTAATGTTCAAGGATGATAAAGTTCGAGGTATTTGTGTAAAATATCATGGATGACACTTGATTGATACATTTTAACTAGGTAGCTATTACATAAAATTTCAGAAAAAGAATAGCAAACGCTGCATTAGCTGTGAATTTTCAAAATTAATCTTGTTTATTTATTCGTACACTTTTGTTTTTCTTCTGATGGCTACACGATAAATACGATTAGTTTTATGAGGAACCGGAATGATCTCAATTGAACTCGGCCAATGTGGTCGATCACAATTCATGTCAGTGCATTGCTCTATGTGATAGAGTTCAACAAAGCGAGTACTATTGTGCATGTAGTTACGGTCACCATATAGACTAATTAACGACAGTAAAATATTACTATACAATAGAACTAATAATTGAAGCTCACCCTAAATTTAAACCGTAAAGACAATAGTCTAACATTGAAGTTGTGAGAATACCTGCACCATATGAAATGCCAAGAAAAAGTCAATCGATGGAACATGCTAACAAAAACATCAATGGAAACAAATCTACCTATAGCCTAGCATTAGAAGAAAAAATATCAACGAACAGTTTTCTGTTGAAGTTGGACAAGTTGTTGTGACAATTGTATTTCTATTAATATGATAATTACATATATTCGATATAGACATATATAAAGTGAGTTTTACACAGGAGTCATAATCGACGCCAATGATCTAAAACGGATAGAGCGTAGCAAGTAATGGTGCAGGAATACGCTTATTAACGTACGTTCAGGTGTTTGAGCTGATGGAATCAAATTTACTCGAATAATTAGATCATTACGAGAAGACGACAGAAAAAAACAAATACTTACGTTATTGTATAGGGACTTGTTGTAGAATTAAATTGTTAAATTGTTTATCTTTCATAATCAATCATAAAAGCATACTTACCTGAGTGTTGATAAATCACTAAAAATATTTAATGGAGTGAATTAATGAAAAAGTTCGTAAATAGTTTTGCTTACCTATTGGAGTTCGTTGTTGATCTAGATAAAAATAATAGCAGAAAAAATAATTGATTTAAAATAATAATAAAAATTTAAGAATACAGACGAGGTTGTATTTGTAGATACTGATGTGGTTGTTGTCCTAACAAAACAATTCATAAAAATGACATAAAACACGATTCCAAGTACGAACACTATTGTATTACAAGTTTCACCGGGACACACAGGTTGATAAGTTTCTGAGACATAGAAAGTGAAGCAATATTGAGCTGATTGAGCATTTTGGCTGTTTAAAGATAAGAATTTATCCCTATTATAAGGCTTTTTAATAATCAATTGGTTTCTGTACCTGCCAAAAGCCATCGCACATATAACTTGGTAACAAAGTTGAGCATTGGTCGGTGTCCATGAGAGATCACTATAGTAGGTAGTCGTATTTAGTTGAGTGATGCTTCATCATACCTTCCCAGAAAAAGCTTATGTGGTCATATCAATAATAGTCACACTTGAGCCGCAATTGTTAATGACAATTAGCTGTGATACGAATGTTTGACCGAACAAGATTAATGTGCATGATTGTTGAGAAAATTCTCCAATAATTGTAGGTGGACTAGTAGATGATGCTTGGCTTACTACTTGTACAAGAAATTGGACTAGTACCGAACTGAGAGGATCTATGCTTGATGAGTTAATAAAGTCTTCAACCTATAATATGATAAACTACTTTTCCAATATAACAAAGTTCTTACTAACCGTAAGTGCTACAGCAAACCAGTCACCAACAATTTGACCTGTTATTAAAATAGTACACTTAAGATAGATAACGGTACCTGGTGGCAATGAACTAGGCGGGTAGACACCTCCACATTCATCTACTACATCGGCATCAGCTACAAATACATTAATAGCTATTGTTTGGCTGACAGGTATTAGGATGGGAGACATAATCGTAGTCACTGGGGCATTTTCATAAAGACCATTATCAGATCTTGGATTAACATTCATACGTGTTGAAATGGGCCAAACAGCACCGGTGCTCGTCGCAAGTGTACACCAAGCATTACTCTGAAAAGCAGCTGAAAAATCATCACCGGCTGCTAAAGTTACAATGTCTGAGCGTTGACTAATGGTCGTACCGATAGCTGTTGAGCTATCCATGCAGTAAGGTATTATATTCGGTGCCACATAACCAAGTGAACCAGCACCACAATTGGTGTTATAATTCAATGTTGCTGTTGTAAGACCAGTATAGGTTGGAACAGGAATCAGTTGGCTACTAGCAATCATGGCAGTAGTACATGATATTGATGAATATGACCATGAATAGGTTTGAGTAATATTAATATCTACAGGTGTTCCTGTGGCTGATGCACTGAGTAGTCTCCATGTAATAGTACCGCCTAGAAAGTGGGATACACTTGTGATAAATATCAAGCTGAGTAATTCAACGACAAGAAGCATGGGCTTCATTGTCATGTAGAAGTCACCTTGTGAAAGGTAATAATCAGAACGTTAAAAGGACTATTTACGTGCAGATAAAATATTTACCATATTAAAATTCTCACTTGTACTAGATCAAATAATAGAAAAAAAACTAGCAGACGAATGGCTCTTTCTTTTTTGAGTTTAAAAAATTACACAATTTCACTTGCTGTTTCATGTGATGGTTTTGAATAATTTCTAGTATTTACAAGAATCAATTTTTTTGAATGGTTATAACTCTGAAATAGCTGATTTTTCGCTATCAGCTGGTGTTAGTAACTGCAATGTGTCAATGTACTAATTTTATTGACTTTCTGCTATAGTATTATCTAGCAATGCAGGTCGTTCAAATAGTGTGACATCTAATTAATTGACTTTATCATCGGATACATGCTTGAAGAAAAGATGACACATAATATTGGTTTTCAAATAATCTAGCCAGTGCACTCAAGTGTATTTCTTGAGGATGTCGTTGCATAGAAACTATCATAATGCATTTTGGATTTCCATGCATATCTCATCAGCTTGCTTATGTCTTCGCTATGATGCACAGGTGTGAAATATGTTCATTAAGGTAGACAAATTATATTTGAACTGAATCACACACCCAACAACGAGTCAGATGCTGGATTTTCTTTCTATAAAATCATGGCTACTCTTTCGTTAGACTAAGGTATCAATAACACTTTTTTTCCTTTCTGTCAAAGGTAATTTTTATCGATTGACAAATCCTACTTGTATAATCAATTTGATCAACCCAATGAAGGTATATCCCACGAATCTTTATTGAACATATAGTAGATCATTAATACAGATAGAAATAATGGGAAGCATGCTCAAACAGCTCTTTAAAAAAATAGCTTCCGGTTATTTTGTATAAGCCATAGTACAAAAAAAGAGTAATTGACAAAACTGGTAAAACGAATCCCATACATGTTGATCTTCAATGCATAATCCCTGCTTTATCCGATTAGTAAAAACAATATTCCCTTTTGAAAGGTCATTTGATCTATTGAGGTATAGCAGAATATATAAATATCAAAACTTGAAAATAACACATAAAATAATCAATCGAGCAATGTTCCGCAGCATTTTTCTTTGCTTTATTCTATGTGTGTTCTATCATTCACTACGATCGATCACTGGAATGTCGAATCCATACTCTTTCACGACAGAAGATCGATGGTTAACAATGGGCGACGGTGTTCGACTGTCTTGTACGCTTGCAGTACCCATTCCTAAACAGACAGACGAGAAATTTCCGATACTCCTGGAATACAGACCCTATCGAAAAGATGACAGCTTTTACAATTATATTCAGCCAACTATTCACTATTTGGTACGACGAGGTTTTATCGTGAGTGAGAAACTAATTAAGAACATCATTTGTTTGAATTGACGATTCTTAGGTAGCAAATGTAGATATTCGTGGTACAGGTTCATCTGAAGGTGTTCTGATCGAACGTGAATATACATCACAAGAGTTAGATGACGGTGAGCTTGTGGTTGAGCTACTTGCTCGTGATCCTCGCTCTAATGGTCGTGTTGGAATGCATGGCTTAAGCTGGACAGCGTTTAATTCTCTCATGATGGCCACATTACGGCATCCACCGGCTCTTCGAGCTATTTTTGCAGCACATGGTTCTGAAGATTTGTACAAGAATGATATTCATTTCATGGATGGTATTCTTCACCAGGATGAATACATACTTTCTGTTGACCATGAAAATGCTTTACCCGCCCCGCCCCAGTATATCATGGATGAAAAATGGATAAAGGAGAGATTCACAGCGAGACCATGGATAGATGTCTATCTTGAACATCAACTTGATGGTGAATTTTGGCAAAAACATTCAATTAAATATGCCTATGAAAATTTCACCTTACCTGCCTATCTCCTGGCCGGATTTTACGATGGGTAAGTTTCCTGTTATGATTAGAAAAATTTAATTATTCCACTCACTAAAAATCTAGCTATAAGGATTTTGCAATGAATATCTATGAAAATGCTCGTAAAGCATCATCAAAGATCAAAGTAGTGGTCGGGCCATTTGTCCACGCTATGCCTGATGCTTCTCATCGAAATCCAGGTCCTGGCTATGATGGCAAAGCTGAAATGGTTCGTTGGTTCAATCATTGGCTCAAAGATAACGATGAGACCAATGATATTATGGACGAGCCTGATATTACTCTGTTCATGAGAACGAGTCTCACTACGGGTGCCTATCGATATGAGTCGGAATGGCCTATTACACGAAGGAAGATACAACGCATGTTTATATCCAGTGGCAAAAAGCTCATTGAAAAAATAGGAGAAGATACGGCGGCTATGAGTGACATAGATACTCTCGAATATCGTCCATGGGTAGGTTTTGAAGGTGGAGAATGGTGGGGTTCTGCAACAATTGATCAACGTCCATTTGACGAATACTGTCTTGTTTACGATAGTGACCTAGTTGATAACACGATTGAAATAGCTGGCTATGTTGACGTATCACTTCAGGTAAACAATGATTTTATTATTCAGACATAACCTAAGACAAAAAAAAACAAGGAAATCTTTGCTAAATGAAACATTGAATGCTGTACGCCCAAAACGTGTGTTTACAGAAGTCATTTCTTGTTAAACTTAAATCTATCAAATCGCATGACGAAAATGTGTTGCTTTTTGACTTCATGATAGGGCTCATATTTTGAATACTTATAAAATCTCATTAATCTATTGTTCATATAACTACAGGTCAGTGCTACTGCCCCTCTGGCTCACTGGTTTGTACGTCTTGAAGACGTCGATATTGATGGCCAAGTGTGGTTTGTGACGGGTGCTGCTCTTAATGGAGCTCAACGAACAATACCTTCGACTTTTCTCGAACCAAATCACCCATACACTATCAAACTGCAGCTTCATTTTACCACATGGACATTCTTTCCTGGACATCGTATTCGTGTTGCTATTTCCAATGCAATGTATCCTGCTTTCTGGCCATCTCCGTTTTCTATGAACACCTCGCTTTATCTGGATCCTCTGACTACATTCATTGATTTGCCAACAATTCCTGGTTTGCTGCCAATATCAGCACCACCACCACCACCATTCACACAAAAACAGATCGAACCCGAATATATCTTTTCAGAAGCATTCTCAGGTGGCCGACCATCAAAAGCTGAAAAGTTTGATATAGTGTCTCACAGAACACTCATATACGAACAGCTTTCATATGAACTTCTACCAAATGGCTGTTTTATATCGGCTCTTATGGCAGAAAACTTTACAGTTTCACGTACAGATCCAGCTGACCAAAAATGGACGACACATGCAAGACAAGTCTATGTATTTGATGTTAATGGGTATCTATCAATTGATGACATACCAATTAAAGATGAAGATGAATCAGTCTATCCGAATCTTGATCTGTCAGCTAGACGACATTTTGAATTGCGAACAGATTTGACTTTTTACTCAGATCGAGACTACTTTTATGTAAATCTGAAACGTCAGCTGTTCCATCCAGATGGTACAGCTAATTCATCCACCATCACATTTGAATTCAACGGGAAACATAAAAGACAATTTCAATAAAATTATGTATTTTATTTTTTCATTGATATTACAAGAATCAATTGTTCAGTGACGTGGACTACTACGAATGATACGTCAAATCAAAGCAAATTGATCCAGAGTATCATTACCATTGATAGATATCATCGAAAAATCTTATCCATACGAACAAGAGTTCAAGCAGTAGCAGATTGTTAAAATCAGAGAGATTAAGAGAGTCTCTTCATTCGATGGAGAAAAATGCATACCAATACAACTCGCATTCATTTGAAAGTTCTGCTGAACAAAGTTCGGAAGATAGAATTTACATCTTCATATCGCCGTATAGACGATTATAATGTTTTGTATTAATTTGTAAAGTAGTAGATCCGATCAATGTCACCATGGGATTGTCATTATTGATCTTGATCGATCGTGTCAAATTGTAACTTACAATAAGGTCCCGCTATCTTTTCACTGTTTTCAATGAAGTTAGCATCGATAATTCACTTTAATTTTACTTTTCAGTTCGTATTTGTGCGCTGAGAATCTTGGAGAGACTAACCATTTTGTATCGTATCTGAGCCTTGAGTAATTGTTTCAGAATTATCAATCCATGTACGGTTACTTGAATCTAGCATTCTTAATCGAAATGAACTTCTAACACGCCTACTTTGTATATGGGGCGAGTACAACACAGGATAATGCAATGCATGATCAACCAGATTAAGGTCTAGTTGTAGCACAAGAAAGTATGTAATATACGTGGAGATTTGAGGTGCTGCCAATATCGGTATTGAATTGTCATTACTGTTGCTGTAGGCTCTGTGGATGTCAAATCGATTACTTAACATATCAGCTCGCATAGATACGAAACATAGGCGAATAGATAAATTGGCTATTCTAGAGTCATCTGTTTATGGTACTCAACAAATAAGTCTCATGTTCGGCATTTTAAGTAAATTCTTCAAAGTAGGCTTATCTTATGTTAGTCGTATCAATGAAGAAAAATAGCATCGGGCTCAAGTATTATTTGTCATGTGATATATGTAATTGCCTTAGATCAGAAATATTTTTGCAGGTAGCCTAAAAGTATTGTTTGAATTTCCTCGCAGCTAGCTTGCTCACTATTTCCACACACCATTAGATTGTTTTTAATTGTGAATTTGAATATATTCTAGTTCTTTGTCAATGTCTGCAATTTTTACTCAAACACGGTGAGGGCTTTTTTCATGAATAATAGAGCCGATGTCTTGTCTGAGTAAACATAATCTATTATCTTCATCTTTCTGACAGGTATGTCCTATTGTTTATCTCTCAATTGATCGCAGCTATTGAATTCTTGCTCAATTTCAAATTGCTGTTATTCAAAAGTATATATGAAAGCATGCGTGTTTCAAATGATATACATTTACAGTTCAATGTCGTTCAATTCCATCTCAATTGTGCGTATGAGATTGATGGATTAAGCAAATATAAAGAGCAATCGCATTATCGATTAAATTTGGGTAATTCCTCATTAATCACGAGAAGCTCTAACGTTTTTAATAATCGAAAGTCATTGAATATGTGAGTTGGAAGACATAATACCTTTAAAAATCATTAGAAAATTCTCTTTTATTTTATTTTTTTGATTTGCATGTTTATTAGTGCGTACGAATTAAGGATTACTATTTTTTCACATACACTTTTGAAGCTCTATAAAATACTGCTTTTACAGAGGACTGGATTTATGAGTAATAACATACTTTAGTCAAACACATTAGAGTCGAGAGCATCCATAATTTCTCTTCCCGGCAAAAAAACTTTTTTGCGGTACTTTCTTGCGATAACAGCCCTCATATGAATCTACCCTAATCGAATAGAAACTATTGTGACGACTCAAAATGTGCGAGCTTTTATTGAAGCCATCTAATTTTTTTAATGACAAAATAATGCTTTTTGTGGCAGACTAATGCAATTTCACTGTTATTATGAAGTTTAAACATCGGGAGAAAAAAGTAGTCTAACGAAATCAGGTTTTCTTTTGAGTGCTTCCGATGGAAAAATATTCCTTATAACGAACGTGAAAGAACACGTTTTCGAAAAAATTGAACGTATTTTATCGACTAAAAACGCGTTCTAAGAACAAATTGACGCGTTCAGATGCGTTCCTCAAAATTGTGAACGCGTTCGAACGCATCCTTTTTGGTAAGCAACGCGTTTTTATTATATTGAACGCGTTAATAGTGGAGGCGTCTTTTATTGTACGAACGCTTTCAACTTATATGCGTTTGAACTTGTTCGCGAGTAATTCATTCTTATAGTGAGACAACCCGTTTCTCCAAAAACGCTTGAAAACGTATACTGAAGAACTAGTTCGGCAACTTTCAGAACGCGTTCTTTTATGTAGTGAAAAGTACTCATTTTAACTTAATGGAATTCATTATTTGAAATATATCGAAATACATGTAACGAAAGTGCTATGCCAATTAAGAAATATGTGTCAACATGAATAAATTTCTTTCTGTTGCAATGCACTGAAAGGTAATGTCTTGTTAGGCAAAGTGATCATCTATCTAGAGTTTCGTAATAAATGATTTTCCTTTTTCCTAAGCTAATTTTTTTATCAAACAAATTCGCTAATCTCATGCTTTTTTAATGTACATTCTCAAATCGTAAATCCTTTCTTTTATTTGCAAAATAGTAATCGGAAAGGTTTCAATTGATTTTAAACATTTAACAGAAATTTTGCAAAAGTTATACTAGCGTCTGTCTCAAATGTATTCATCATATTTTTATTTGCCATCGAACGCATCACTTAGTTTTGCTCATAATAAAAATCAGAATTGTCCATCGATTTCTAATTAATTTCTATTAAATTTAGCATTTATCGATTTAAATTTATAATGAATTTAACTTTTTAACATTAACAAAAATGTTATATTTACTCAAATCGATTGTACAATGTGAATTCAATTTAAACCAATTTAATTAGACTTAAATTCGATAAAAGCCACAGTAAATGAACTTACACCGCATAAGAAATATTTAAGTCTAATTACATGAATTTTAATTGAATTTGAACAGCTTTGCATTGCATTTTTATTAATAGAAGCTAGATTAGAAAACTTTTATTAAATGTCAAAAATTAGTAAAAAGTTAAATTTTCAATATTTTATTTTAAAAAAAGTAATGTTCTTTAAATTTATTTTAGAATTTATTAATTTTTTTTGTAAACATAATTCGATCAATCTTAAGTATAATTTTCGTTAAGTCAGAATAACTTTTGGTTAATACAAATAGAAAAGTTAGCACTTCAAACATACGTAAGCATAGTTCATTCGGCTATTCACTACTTCGAAACTACAAGTTTATCTGGTCGAATCCACTCTACGGTAGTAAAAACAAAACGGATTAGAACGCGTTCAGTGCGAAAGCAAGTATTCGAATAGAGGAACCAGCAGTCTGAGAACTTATACGAATAGCAAAGGAACATGTTCAAGAGCATTACAGAGTTGAAAATGCAATAAATAAATAATTTCTTTTTTTCTAAATAAAAACGTGTTCCTATGAACGATCAGAACGCGTTCCTTCTATTTAAAAGAACGTGTTTTTCATTACACAAACGCATCTGAAAAGGTCGAAAAGAGCGTCTTCACAACGCAGTCTTTTATGTCGACAACGCGTTCTTGTCCGTTCTTTTTTTGAATTTTTTTTTCATGGGTTTTATTTATTGAAAAATAAGTCATTTTGTGAAACACAATCTAAAAGGAGTGCTGAATTATATAGGGTAGAAGTTTGAAGCCCCCCCCCCCCCCCCCCCCACAGACCGTTAAGGAGAAATTAATTAATTAATTAATTCTTTTCTCTATAACGGTCTGTGATGGTTTCAAGAGACTCCATGCATCATTATACAGGCCGTAACAGAGAAGCTCCGCAAACCATCACTGACCTTGATTGGCGGATTCCAGAAAAGGACTTTCATCATGTTTCACATTTTAATCCCACAGGGATTGCGCTAACAGCTTTGTTTTATATACAACGAAGAGCAGTCATTTTGTAAAATTAGTTTTTTGATTTTTCGCAGACATCTGTAAGTACCATTTGTATACTAGGATATCTCTAATTTTAGTGCTCTCAAAAGTCGAAAAAGATTGACTCGATTCTTATTCTATTTTCATGTTTTCAGTACATTTTTTGCGCGATTAATACTCAATTAAAACTCAAACGGAAAAGATTAAACTAGAAAGATGACTAACAGTACTTAGAAGTATACTTAGTGAAAGTTATTCGATAGACTAGACTCAGCTTTATGTGGAACTGAAATAATCTTCTTCTCTTGCTCTTTTACTTGGCTAAAAGTGGTTCATAGTTCACATTTTGAAAAATTCACATCCAGATGGCTATAAATTCCAGATATTTTTGGGAAATGTCCCACCCCGAAATCTTCGTGCTTGTAGTTATTAAATTCAAAAACGGTGGGGATATTGATGTCTTAGAATTGGAATAAACAAAGATTTGGTGTGGACTTCTATTATAAGGAGTAAGGCAATACATAGCGACGTCCCTTAGAATGAAAACAAAGTTATTTCTAAACATTTTAGCAGGTTAAAAAGCACTTAAAAGAAAATTTTCATATGGGTTGCATTCCCTTAGTCAAATTTTACGTAATTGAGTGCGCTTGGATCCATATCGACACCAAAGCCTACGAAGTCAGAGAACTAGAATAGTAGTACTCTATTGAGCTTCAATAGATACAATATAATCTTAAACGTTACGACTGAATATCAACGGTGCTTCCGTTTCTGATATTCACATTTTCCGACTCCGCGTAGGCTACAACTGCGAATTGAAAACCAAGAGCAGTTCAAATCATCAATGACTCAACGCAAGCGAATGCAATTTTCGTGACATATAACAATTTTTTTTGTAGTAGTTTAATATGTGCATCGCATATTATATGAGTTTATTCGAAAAATATAATTAAAATAATTAAATACATGAAAGCGAATGAAGGTGAAAGAAAGTGCAAAGTTTTTCAAAATAGTCAATGTTTTTAGCTAGATATGCAGTTTCAAGGATTGGCCAATGCATAGATATCACTGGAGCTTAGTTCTCTTGAATAGACTCTCAATTCATCAATTGCTCCATAAAATTGGCCTAGACTGATGCTGCCTTGTGCACAAGAGTAAAACCATGAAAAGTCAGCAGCTATTGTGATTGAATTGGGTAAGCCCGAAGATGAATAAGAGAAACCTCCTGTTGCACCAATCAGTGCTCCATTAACCCACAAGCGCACGCCATTTGTGGAGCTGTAAGAACTTACTATATGGGTCCAAACGTTTACTTGAAGAATAGGACCAGTTACTACCATTGCTCCGATGCTAGACCAGCCTTGACTAATTATATTACCCAATGAATTCAAGCCAACAAAGGGGACACACCAACCCGCCGCGTTTGCACTAAAAATAGAAAAAGATTCAAACCAATACTTAGCATATTAATGCTTTATGGTCCTACTATGATGACATGTATAAAAGCATACCACCACCAGATGTTTTCAAAATCCAAAATGCTAAAGAATAGGATCTGTATGATGAACCGATCAGTGTAAAGCCCGATGCCTGAAAGTAGGACCCGGCTGCATTAAATCGAAGAGCTTGATTAACACGTCCAGTTATTGATGATACACTGCCTCCTGCTGTCTGCAATAGACAAACCGGTACAATTCTATTCAATGGATTTACTATTGACTTACTCCATTGATCCCATTGGGTCCTGAGTCTATGTAGGTTAATCCAGTGTCAAACGAGTAATATGCTACCAATGTAGCATCGCTCAAGACTTCTGTTGAATTTTTGGCTCGGGAAACATAAGATACTTGATCAATTAAACCATTCCAGAAACTCGAGGGTGTTGCTGCACCGGTATTATTGATAGCTCCAATAGTGATAGCGCCGCGAGAAGCCAAGAATGGGCCAGCGCCTGTTCTCGAACATTCAATCACACCATTCATATAGATATATTGAGCCTGGTTTGTATAATCATAGATAAACGCGAAATGGTGCCATAGAGTGTTCAAAAATGGTGTAATCTCATTTCTGCAGTTTTTGTTTTGTTACAGTTCTCTTATCTCTTTGTACTTATCTATCAAGGTTCTTTGATACATAGAGGAGTGATGCCAAATTTTGATAGGGAAATTATTTCCCATACTCAGAATTGTACAATATTTTCATGAATCGAAATGATTATCTTGAGAGGTTCAATTAGATTTTGTTTTATTGAATATTTAATTCGTTTTAATACTAGGTTGAGAACATATATTTGAAAAAAAGTAGAATTGCAAATATATGTTTGAAAGTATCGAAATTCTTCGAGAATATTCTTGAAATAGAGTATTTTTCAATTCGTCTGTTTCAAGAAAAACTTATTTTTAGATGCATATAAGTTGTACAATTAAAATGAAATTACCTAAGAACTCTAACAATTAGCAACACAAAACAATACTAATCGCAAAGTAATGTCTTTGTTGTTGTGTTGATATGTGAAATGTGAATATTAGTAAATCTTTGCTATAGAACTGTCATTAATTGTAATAGTCTAAATAAGTCACTGATTCTATCAACTTGTGCTGCATAACTTAGCACAGTTTATCTTTTAGCCTGTTTCTCGCATGAGCTTTTTAATTCTTTATTATCAATTATCTTCTCCCTCATACTGAATGAGGAAATTATTGAACAGATCTCCATTGGCCTGCTGGAACAACTGTTGAACCAATGCAATCATTTCCATAGAAAGCAAAATACGGTTTACTGGAACGCGTCATTAAGTACAAACATAAGCTATAACTAGGGTTCTGACACATTCCCAGCATCAAGCCATCAGTAGTACCTGGAACAAAATAAAAGCAGTGAAACAATGAAATACTTCTATTGCATTTACTTAAAGTTGTCGGATTGACCCATAATTCCCAAGTGAAACTTGTGTATGTCATATTTTTATATGCAGCAACTAGTACATATTGCGAACTAGCGCTACTAACCGAGAGAGCCGACCCATAGCCAGTGTATCCAGGCGAAGAGAAAGTGGGACTATTCATGCCCACACCATTGTAGTTATTATATAAGTCATTATAATTCGAATCAAACGACCAAAACATGTAACTGAGTGGTACAGCGGCTATTAAAAGAAAAGTGTATACAAGCTTGGTTTGAAATGATAAGTGAACCTACTGGTGGTTGTAGTAGTAGTAGTCGTCGCTAGAATACAGGATAAACCATACCATTATTGATTATGTTTTTAGAAAAGTAGAAACACAGATTTATAAAGCCTCAGTGAAATTTCTAATTATCCAAGACTTCACTACTGGCAAATTCTATTCTGATGATATGTACTCTAAACTGTCATACATAGAAATATCCTTAACGCAAATCAGTGCACAGCTTGCACTAAGTAGAATAACATTCAGATTATCTGTGTACTTTGGTCTATGAAGCGGACTATTCTGAGAAGAAAATATTACTGCTACTATGAAGATCGATTAAATAGCCTTCTAAGTTATCACCTGGTGAGAGTTATCCTATTGTTCAATTGAAACCAGAAAAATATCATCGAATTAAAAAATAGAGAAAACCGGCGATTGAGAATATGAGCCACTATAGATATTGAAAAAGAGAAGAGTTTACAAGATCTCACAATTATCAGTATATTTATGATATTTTCTTTGATAATGTATACTTCTAATCGACTGTGATAAGAATTTTACTTTCTTTGAGCAGAAATAACTTAATCTATTATTTTCGCAGCTATTCACGATGTATGCTGTGCTTAATACATTGTCACATCTATTCTGAGATGTTAGTAGAACCTACAAGTAGTTGTTGTCGTAGTGGTTGTCGTAGTACTCGTTGTGCTAGTGGTTGTCGTTGTTGTCTTTGTAGTTGTAGTTGTTGTCGTTGTAGCAGTTGTCGTTGTAGTTGTTGTTGTTTTCGTTGTTGTTGTCGTCGTCGTTGTTGTTGTCGTAGTTGTTGTAGTCGTTGTCGTTGTAGTAGCAGTCGTCGCTGTTGTTGATGTTGTTGTAGTTACAGTTGCTAAATACAAAAGATAAGAAAAGATAATGGTGACATTAATATTAGCTGAATTTTCTAGGAAAGGAATCGAAAAAAAATCGTAAACCATAATATTATAGTCTAAAAAAATTGGATATTTGTTACTATCGAAAACTCTTTTAGGGTTTCCGAGCAATTTAAAAACCCTTTTCTAGGTTTCCGATAATAACAAATATCCAATCCTTTCTAGAGTCTAGGTAATCAAGGCCATGATACTAAAAAAAATCACGTAGATTAAGTCATTAGCGTTGCATAATGACTTACGACAAATACAGATTAAGTCTGTTTTTGTGGTCTTTTTTCTACTTTAGATCAACATGCATGTTATGCGTGAGCTTCGTAGTAAGTTATATAGAACCGTACTAAACGAATATTTTATAAAGTACGGTTCGTAACAAATATTCAAGTTTATAGTGAAAAAACTAACCCACCAGCATGTCCTTATACATTGCCCAGGACAAAGGGATTGCCAAGATGTCTATTACGATCTTTAGGTGTTGCTATGTAACTGGCTTTGACGATCGCACTTAGATAGATAATAAAAAGTTCCTAATATGTATTTTTCTTTGAAGAGAAAATGTAGATATTATGATAAAAAAATTTCAAAGTTTCAGAATAATTCTCTCACTTTCTGCAAAATAAAAGTAAAAAATCGACATGCCAAAATGATGTGGTAGCTTGTCGGACAATGGTAGAACATCATAATCGAAAAAAAGCTGAGAAAACTGAATAATTTAAAAATCAGCAAGTTCTGGAATAGTCTCAAGAAAGGCTTTTTTCACTCTGTTATGCATATGGTCCATTTGTTGGATGTCACTTCACTTAAGTATTTTTCATGTTTGTATCATAGTAAACTTCTAATCTTTCCATAAGTAAAGCTATTGTATCAAATGACTAATTTATGACTATAGTAGCTGTTAGCGGATATGATTCACCTTCAATCCTACCTCTCGATGTCTTTACATATCTCTCCCTTGTTATGCCCATATTGTCATTGTTTTCTCTACCTCTCTTCTGTTCTCTCTTCTCTTCTTCTTTACGGTGGTATATATATATATATGTACATGTGATTAAGAAAAGAGAGAGAAGAGAATAAAATAAACGTAAAGCTCGGACACGACGAGTTAACAGTAGCTAATCTGACTCTCGCTTATAATCTGACTAATGTTCACAGAGCTATCATTAAATACTACATAGAATCAATGATATTTCACATTTTCATTTGCCATCGAGTATGTTGAAGGCTTTCTGTTTTTAAATTGCTTGTACGAGAAGACAACCAATGTAACGCAGCATCTTTTGGACTAAAGCAGGAAACTCATACACACATATATATATATAGTCCTTAGATTTACTAAGCTAATAGGAAACAGCTGAAGTAAACAATTTACTTTATTATCTAAAGCCTATAACTAGAGCATAACTTATTCTCTCATAAATGCAAGACAGGGTTACTTGTTTGGTGACGTCTCTATCGGTGACATAAATTAGTTGCTGTAGTCTGTAATGCTGGCCCAGTCTAATTGCCAGTGTCTACGATTGTATAATAGATCTCGCTTTTTCGTATAGTCTTTAATGAAGGACTAGAAAAGGGCCACAAAAGGGGCTTTTAAATTAACACATAACTATGTGTTGCTTGTGACAAAAGAGTGCATAAACTGACACATTGAAAAGCACTTTTTCAGATATATGAATTTTGGAACCATCAATAAGTCATTGAAACTTTGTGACTTATTGCTGACAATATTCAATTATCAAATTAAGTATTAGGTTGGCCAAATAGTTCTGCAACACTTGCGAAAAAGTTGATTTTTATGCATATCTTTGTAGCTTTCTTCTGCGCTCTATGCAGTTTTTTCCTTCTTTTATGTTTATCTTGTTCCGGTTGTTGCTTTATGCTCAAAGTTTCAGATGACATTGGAGAAAATACAGCTTCGGGTGTTGATACTCTATTGCTGGAAGCGACGAGTTTCGACCAGAGATGCTGCAAAAAAGATTTGTGACGCTGAAGGCGAAGGAACTGCCCACTACACAACTGTTTCACGATGGTACAAACGATTCGATTCCGGTGACCTTAACCTCGAAGATCAACCTCGTTCCGGCCGGCCATCAACGTTGGACAATGCAGATCTGCAGGCAGCCTTGGAAGATGAACCTTCATCGAGCAGCCGTGAATTGGCTTCGATTCTTGGTGCTTCGTCCCATCAAACTGTGCTGAATCTTCTGCATTAAATGGATTTTGTACACAAGAAACCTCGCCAGGATCCATACGAGTTGACCGAAGCGCAAGCCAAGCATCATGTTGAAGTCTGCCGTCAATTGTTGGAAAACCCATTGGATGATAGGTTTTCAAAGCCTATTGTAACTTCGGATGAAAAATGGGTCTACTTAGTCAATCACAACCGACAAAAACGGTGGGTTCCGCGAGGTCAAAATCCGCCATCAGTTCCACGTCAAAATCGTTTTGGCAAGAAGTTGATGATTTGCGTATGGTGGAACTTTGAGGCTGTGCTTCACTTAGAACTGGTCCCGGATGGCCGTGTCGTGAATGCTGAGCTCTACTGCCAACAACTGGACTGTGTCTATGACAAGCTGATGGAGAAGTATCCGACCTTCGTTCGCCGCAAACACGCTTTGTTCCAGCAAGACAACGCTAAACCCCACATCGCCAATAAAACAATGGAGAAATTTGACGAGCTAAAACAAATCGAGGTCTTCCCACACTCTGCCTACAGTCTCGATGCTGCGCCATCCGATTGCGGCCTCTTTCGATCAATAGAGCACTTCTTCCGTGGCCGCCGATTCGAGTCATTTGATCAAGTTGAGGAAGCGTGCCAGGAGTTTTTCGATTCTAAGCCCTCACAATGGTACTTCAGTCAAATCCGAATGCTTGCAGATCGGTGGCAAAAGATTGTCGAAAACGATGGACTTTATTTTGAAGAGTAGCTATTGTTGTTTTTGAAAACTTCAGCATAAAAATAAATTTTGTTGAAAATGTTGCAGAACTTTTTGGCCAACCTAGTATATTCTATGTTTGTATCACATTCTGTTAGCTTCTGATGGACATACAGTGAAAGAATGGAAAGAGAGGGAAAAGCTGACCTTCGTGGGGATCGAACCCACACCTCCTGCTATCCGGGTATTTGTCCTAAGCCAATTAGACTAGAAGGCGCAATAGGATGCTAAGTGAGCGTCCGAGTGATTTATCATGGACGCTAACACATTCGTTAACTCCATTTTAATTAAATCTTCTGAAAATATTCTCGGGCACATTTAACTTACTTGTCGATGTCGCTCCAAATACTACAACAAAAAGAACAGCAGCCACGGTAGCAGCTACTATAACCGTTGCACTGATAGCGAAACCCATCGCTAATCTTCTCAAGTTGGATGCGTTCACCCGTCTAAAAGTACCAAGATATTTATTTAGACAAACTCCAAAGGAATCAATATCTATTCAGATTGCAACTAACGAATTCGTGGAGGATTGAACATTGGGAACATTTGTTAGACTTGCTGTGATGTTTTTGACAGACCTTGGCGGTGATGTGGACATCTAAAAAGGGAAACATTAACAAGCAATCCAATTAATACATCTAGTTGAATGGTTCGATTATTTAGACCACTCTTATTCACTAGTGCTTCCAACAAGTGTGGAGAAAATTTCATGATTATATTTATCGTGGGCCCCCTTAGCACGTTATCGTGAGTACGATAATCATGATCACGTTTTATCAAACACATTATAGCGCCCACGTATGAGTGATAGACCATCAGGTCGATCACGTTTAGACTATGGTGCGATTAATTTTATGTTTTTTTCTAAATCCTGACGTGATCAAGCTATGGAGCAAGTTGTTTACAGGCTTCATGGGCTCTAGCCAACGTTTGTAAACAGGGCGTTTTCAACTTGTGAACCTGTTAAAATAGAATAATATTGGTATACAAGTGTGGCTCACAGTTGAACGCTTATACTCAAAATGGACAATACCCCTCCTTATTTGGTACGACGACATGATCCCTGCAGATGCCAAAGAATCCTTATACATATCATATCGAATATTTTCTTTTGTTTCAGACGAATACACCGGATAGGATGTTACAGTATCTGACGAGCCAGCTAAGTCCGATGGGATTTCAGGTAGAGCAACTACTAATGGATGCGACAGAAAATTCATATTTTATTATTTGGACATTAATTAATGTTTAAAACAAATTCTAAAGGTTAGTCAGAACCTTGAGATGGGCTCAGTCAGATTCGATTGTCGGAAGGATGTGCTTTAGGAGGCTGAAATTCAAAAATTATTATAAGATAGTAAGGAAAATTATGACTGTCACGCCTATATTTAATATCAGGTTGGCAACAAAGTTCTTGCATTTTTTTGAAAATGTTCTAAAATATTCCAGAAAGTTCTAGAAGTTTCCATACTAAGGGTATATAAAGGGAATGTGAATATCTTGTGAATGATAATAAAGTCATCAACATGGACGCTGATCATGAACTGAAAACGGATCTTTCTCGTAGAGAGATTCGAGTGCTTTTACTTCATGAATTCCGTCTGGGCCGCAAAGCAACGGAAGCAGCCAACAACATATGCAGCACGGTGCGCGAGGATATACTCTCTATTCGTACGGCACAACACTGGTTCAATCGCTTTAAGAACGGTAACTTAGAACTCGACGATTTACCTCGACCCGGTAAGCCACTGCAAGTGGATGTGGATCTCTTAAAGCAGCTTATCGAACAAGATCTTCGATTGACTTCACGATGCTTAGCAGAACAGCTTGGGTGCTCTCATACTGCGGTAGAAAAACATCCGAACGAATTAGGCAAAAAATGGAGATATGGAGTTTGGATATCCCATGAGTTATCACCACATCAGCTTCAACACAGGGTTGATGCTTGTATGGATTTAATGACATCTCACCACAACTATCAATGGCTCCGCAATCTTATCACCGGCGATGAGAAGTAGGTGTTATATATTAACTACACGCACAGGCGCCAGCGGCTAAGCTCTGGTCAAACAGGCGTAGCAACGTCTAAAGCTGATCTACACCCCAAGAAGGTGATGCTGAGCGTTTGGTGGGGTGTCAATGGAATTATTCACTGGGAACTTCTTCCAAATGGTTGTACCATCACTGCTGAACTCTACTGTCAACAATAGGAACGGGTTGCCGAAAAGCTCAAGGGAAAGCCGGATCGAATTTACTATTTGCATGATAACGCTAGACCCCATGTTACAAAGTCGGCCTGCGAAAAATTATTGAAGCTCGGATGGATTACCATTCCTCATCCACTTTATTCTCCTGACTTGGCTCCAACGGACTACCATTTGTTTCATTCTCTTTCTCATCATTTGTGTGAGAAAATTTTCGACGACGAGAACGACGTGAAAATGGATATCGCCAACTTCTTTGGTCAAAAGTCTCAGGACTTCTACGAAAGTGGGATCCTATCAATACCAAAGCGATGGCAACAAGTCATGGATAGTAGTGGTGCATATATATCTGAAAGCTGGTTGTAGTGTTGAAGTTAAAAAATAAAAGCTGTTAGCGCAATCCCTTTGGGATTACAAGTGTGAAACTCGATGAAACTTCTTTTTTGGAATTCGTCTATTACTGTCACTGGTGGTCTGTGGAGCTTCTCCATTACGGTCTGTATTATGATGTATGGAGTCTCTAGAAACCATTACAGACCGTGATAGAGAATTCGAAAGCCATCACAGACAGTGCCACAGAATTCAGAGACCATCACAGACCGTGACAGAGAAGTTTCACAGACCATCACAGACAGTGACAGAGACCCCATAAACTATCCCAGACCGGGGCAGAGACCCCATAAACTATCACAGACCGGGACAGAGACCCCATAAACTCTCGCCGACTGGGACAGAGAATTCAGAGACCATCACAGACCGCGACAGAGAATTCAGAGACCATCACAGAGCGGGACAGAGAAATTAGTTAATTGATTAATTAATTAATCAGCTAACTAACTAATTAATTTCTCTGTCCCTTTTTAGTGGGGGGGGGGGGGGGGGGCAGGGG